GAGGCTCAGAGAAGATGGTTAATTTTCCCAGAGCTAGAATAGCTAGGTGGAAAGTCTATGCTTAAACCCTGACGTCTATTCCAGTGTCTTCCTCCAGCCCGCAGCTATTGATCAGATGAGAAAGGCAGAAGAGGCTACGCTTTCTTGGGCTGCCAAGTTGGGAGCACTGAGGTGCTAAACAATGAACTAAGGAATGCAGCAATCTGAGCTGGTGAACTCAGGTATTTGGCACACTCTGTGATGGCGGAAGCCTCAGACCCTAGGGCTCCAGTCACCTACCAGACCAGTGTCTCCTAGACTTAGTGGACCAATGGAGGCCTCTCTCCTGTCATTCCAACCTGCTGATGCAAAGATATGGTCCCCAGGGGAAGAGGCCAACAAGGACACAGGCTGGTCTCACTCCTTTGCTCTTCCAGGCAAAGGTCAGGTGGGCCCAGCTAGGGACAAAACTGCTAGCTCATTGGCCAGCGGAGAGGTAGCAGAAACTGGGAGCCCGGATCTCCACCTGCTGTCTTCTCTGGCTCAATGGCTGCCCCATCAGCAGGCCTGTGGCCCAAGGATACACCTGCAGATAATTAGTCCCAATGAAGACAGGCCAAACTGCTGACAGTGCAGGAACTGGCTGGCCATTTCACCAGTTTGCAAATGGTGAGCAGTTTCTGAACCGTGGCCCTGGCTGGCAGAGCAGGGGTTTAGCTTAATATTTAATGTGGCATATAAACGATGGAGAGAAATCGACTCATTCTCTAATGAGATCTTCCCTGAGCAGCCAGGAGTGTGAGGCTAGGGCAAAGCAGTTTAAGGACCACCTATCCCCCCAGACTCCAAGGAAATCCATAGGCTGATCTCACAGTCCAACTGAGCACCTACTATGCTCGGGGTCTTGTGGGGAGAACAGAAATGCAGAGTAAAATGGGAGACTGTGGCTGCCCCCTGAAGAGTTCAGGACTGACAGCACAGCCACTAACACCAGGGGAGTTAAATGAGTGCCCCATAGTCACATGAAGCACCTCAACAACTCTTGGGGGGTTTCTTTGAAGCCTTCTAACAGTTCTCAGTGGGGCCAATGACTGCTTCATAGAGAGTCTTCTGAAATCCTGTGGGGGCTTTTATATGATGGAGGGGCTTTACTGGCTGGCAGTGGAACAGTTCGGCACAATGAAGAATTTTCCTTCACCCCGCACCATTCTCATGTCCTGCCAAACATTCAGGTAGGTGAAAAATCTGTTCACAATTATTTGTATCTAAAACTGAACTTCATTTACATATAAATGTGACCTTGCCCGTTCCATGGTCTCCATATACTCTAAATTTTCTAGGAATGCAACTACTGTGTAAATTGAACAAAGCTCGTACTTTGTTTTACTTGGAACTTGGCCAAGAGTTGCTCTCCTATTTGGAAAATCACATTGGCGATCTGAGCAGGCTGAATCCTGGTTGGCACCCCTGCCGAAGTCTGCATTCAGGGTTCCTGCAGTCGCGGGATTTCTGCGCACCAGGAAAGTGTTGGGCCAGTTTGTTACACCGCACAGTTGAGATACTCAGAATATGGACATATCAAATAGTGGTGATTGTATTATCAACAATTTTGTTTTCAGTTCTCCTTCACTTCATGAGGCACTGATTTTATTCTATTTTTTAAATTAGATGTGAAGACGGGCTACACGCTTTCGAAACTTAATTCAAGATAGTGAAGGGGCACTGTAAATATTAGCTACACAAGGGGACTCCAGGGGTAAGAACTCCACCTTGATGCACCCCTAGTGTAGGACCTCATTGGGTGAACCAGTGAAGAGGAAGGGGCAGCGGAAGGGGTTCAAAGATCTACTGACCTCTTCATGCACAGCATCTGGTACACAGTACATGTGTATGCCTGAGTATTGATTCAAAGGTTGCATTAACCACAATAGAATTTTTGTGTTGTATTATATTTTGCATTTTTAAATGTGCTAGGACTTCTACTCATTTATTTCAGAATTTTCCTAGCTGTCCTAGAATGTTTATTTATCTAACATTTGAATCATTTTGACACATTTTTATAAATCCCTTAATATCTGGCTTGGGATTGCTTTGAATTAATAGATTACTTAGGGGGAATTGGCGACTTATGATATTTAGTCTAAGAACAAACACCATCTCTCCATTTACTCTTTTATGTCTCTTGGTGGAGTTTTAAAGTTAAGTTTTTCCTGGGTAGTTAATATATTTTTGTTGTTGATGGGCTCTTTCTTTTCTTATAAGAATGATTATACTGGTAATTATAATATCTCTAATATTTCAAAGTTAAGCATAATTCTGACTTTAGCCTGGGATATTTTTATTTGTTCCTGGCTCCCTAATGTGCTTTAAAATGGGACAATTAAAGCACAAGCAGATCTTTGGTTAGTTTAACCAAAACCCAATTCACCCCTAGACTTGGTACCTGGGCCTACTGAAGCCCTCTGCAAACTGCAGGATAGTGAGCCCAGCCAACTGGCCCTTAGCCCAAACTCCTACACCAAGGACATTGATTCACAGCCCTTGTCAGGCTGGGCTTGCAACATAAATGACGAAGCCACTGGCTGGGGACTGTGAGGACCTGTCTCAAGGAGCTGCTGCTACTGAGCCCTAATCTACCATGGCCATGTGGGAATAAGGCCCAGAGGGGCTGGCTATTCTGATTTTTCAAAGAGAGCCAGAAATCCATATTTTCACTTATTAAAGTATTGGTTTAAAATGTCCAAAAGTCCTTTGTGGGCCCAACTACACTTATCTGTGTGCCAGATGAGCCCTGCTAGCTGGCCAGCTGCAATCCACTTCTGTAGACAGGAGCCTCAGAAATTGACCTCAGCCTGCACACTCCCTGGGTTATGATCCACCTAAATACCCATGTACACAAATGATGTAAAGTCTCCTTGTGAGCTGCCTAAACCTGAGTTTCCATGCACCCCAATTCCAGTCATAAACCACCCTGTCTGCTATTACATTCTTCTCAGGGACTACATTGGATCATCACAAGGGTGCTAAGAGACCAGGGCCATTGCATAGATGGAAAAATTGAGGCTCAGAGCTGTGGCCAAAGGCAGACAGAAGGAAGTTACAGCACTGGAGCTGGCCCCAGCTTAGCTGCACAGCAGAATGGCCAGCAGCACAAACCCTGGTGCTAACCACTGCACACTGGCTGTGATTTCAGGAAAAAAACAAAAACAAAAACAAAAACTTACCTATCCCAGGTCCCAGTTTCTTTATGCATGAAATGGACACGATATTAATCATGCCACCTCCCAAGTTTCCTCTGCGGTCCTTAATAGAGTTCCTGGTACTTAGTGCCTAAACACTCAATGAAGCATCAGTGACTACTGTTATGAGCTGGTCCACACTTCTTTCTGCTTTTCCCTCTGCAATTGTTTGTATTTCTTTCAAAAGAATAAGGTCTCAGGATCTAGAAGACTGTGGACCGGCTCTGGCTCTCCACAGTACCCCTTGCATTAAGCAAGTCCCTGCCCCTCAGAAACTGGCTTCTACATGTGTAAAATGAGGTATCATCAGAGGTATTGTCATGGTTGCTGGTGACATAAGCAGAAAGGACTTCATCAAACTTTTGTGATGTCAGTAAAAGTTCACTGGAACTGATATCTGGAACCTGCCTACCTGCAGGCTCTGCCCAATCTCATGTACACAGGGACCAAGTCACTTGGCCCTATCTCATTCCCATGTGATACCCAGATATGTAACTGGGGCCCCAGCTGCTCCACTCTGAGTCTCAGTGCTGATCTTCAGCTCAGGTCACAGAGCTGGCCTCCCTACCTTGCTGTTCATATCTAAAGGGCTCCTGGGACTGAGATCCTGTCTTGTCCATCCCTACCCCTAAAATTCTCTGAGCCAAGGACAGCCCTCAGCCTCTCTCATGCAGCAACAGCCTACCTGTGTGTCTCAGGACCCCTTGTCTCTGTCACTACCTACTGTGTTCTCCCCGCCAGTCTCCCGGGCTCTGGCCCAAGTACAAGCCCTGGCACCCCACTGTCTAAGAGCCTTCTGCCTTCCAGGGTGGACTTCTCCAGGGGCTGGAAGTTTAGACTGTCCCTAGTGCTCCATAGTATGCAGGGCTGCTGAGCCAGGGGATGTAGTGGGGGGAAGGCAGCTTTAACATTGCATAACTGCGACCAGCCACATGACAGAGCTCTAAGAAGAGTGACAATAGCCACATACATTGGGTGCTGTGTGCTAGGCAAGAATCTAAGCATCTTAGAGGTGTGAGCCTCTTCACCCTCAGAGCTGCTCTGTGCAGTAGGTGCCAGCTCAGAAAACCACAGAAGCATTTGTGTGTTGTTGTGTGGCTCCCCCAAGATAAACGCACAGCTAGTAAATGGCAGGTTCAAACCCAGCAGTGAGTGGAGAGCCCGAGCTTGTTGCATTGTTTGGTGCAGTGCTGGGGATGAAACCCGGGGCCTGTCGTATACTTGGCAAGTGCTCTACTGATGAGAGCCCAAGGGTCTCCTGCTTACATCTTTACCCTGACAGTGACAATGAAGATGGCCTCGGCCTCCAGGAAGGCAGCTTCTTGGCACATACCCAGCCTGAGTTTCCTGCCCTTCTTGACTCAACTTCTGCTGAAATTTTGAAATGCCAATGACAAGCTGCAAAGAATTCCATTCCTCCTTGAAGCTGCTGCCAACCAGGGATGCTTTGCTCATGAGACAGATAAATCCCAGACCTCTGTACAGCTGGCCCCACCTGCAGAAGCCCTCTGACAGAAGGGTGCCCTGTCACTTCTCCCAGCCCACAGTCCAGTTGGCATTTGTTCTCTGGATTTCTTGAAACCATATACAGACACATCTTATCACAGCTACAACCCGTGGCCCCAGCAGTTTCCTGCCTGACTAGTTCCAGGACCTCATAACCTCATTAAAACAAAACTGGCCCGTCATGTCCAAAAGTACCAAAAAGCCATTCCTCCCACCATGAATGCATTCTCTTTCTCCCACTCTTCCCCTCAACCCCTAAGCCCTAGGTCCCCTCACCTGTCACAATAGGGTAGGACTGTGGACCTGGCACACTGCTCCCAATGTCGGCAGGGGTGGGGCTGGTCAGGTTGGCCTTCATGTCGTCCAGCCCTCCAGCCAACGAGGCCATGGCTGAGTACTCAGTGGTCTGAAAGAGGAGACAGAAACATCTCAGTACCATAGTCTGAAACACCATAATCAAAACCAACACCATGTTCTGGTCTAATCCAAGCCTGTGCCAGAGCCCACAAGGGGTCATGAATTCCCTCATGTTGGAAGGGAAAATTCAGATTGACAGATTTAGACGGTTTCTAAAATTGACAATGCTCCCCAGGTGAAGAGGTGGGCAGGAGTCCACAGAGCTTCATGAGAAGTCCAACCTGGCTCTCTTGTGGCCTAAACCCAGCCAGCCAGAGTCATCATACTCCTCCCTGCAGGAAGGGAGACATCAATAACCAAAGCAAGGCAGAAGTAAGAATGTACTTGTCAGGAGGATGGACAGAACAGTTTGTGATTTCTGTATTTTTGTCTCACTGGATAGAATCACAGGAACAAGAGTTAAAAGGAATCTGGGAGATCATCCAGTCCAAATCCTCAGGTCACAGATGGGCAAATGAAAGCCGAAAGAGAGGAGGATTTTGTCCATGGTAAACCAGGCAGAATCCTAGCCCAGGGGGCGGGTCACCCTAAACCTAATGCATCAAGCCAAGCTGAGTCACAGTTTGGCAAGTGATTTTGAATTCCGGAAGTATGTAAATACCCGTGTGCTGAGAACTCTTGGTGCAAACATCTGATTTACCAAATCCATGCCAACCATGTGCACAGGCCCAAGAGTTATGATTCTTTCTTTAAGTCATTTCATGATGTCAGAACCAGCAGTGAGTCATTTCCTTGTCATCCAAGCCACTATCAGAATGGTCTCCAGAGAAAGCAGCAAAGAGGCCAACCTGGATGTGCCCATTCAAGGACAGACTAAATGATAATTGATCTCACCCAGCCCCAAAGCCTATATTCAATTAAAGAAAACACTTGCAAATAAGCTAAAGAATTTGGTTGTGCATCCAAGCTTAGGAGTGGGCTGTTCCTTAGGACCTTGCCATTGCCGATGGAGGAACATCCCTGTCTGCCTGGGGTTATGTGCTTGGCAGGCAGGGACAGGGAAGCGAAAAATCTTCTGGAAGTGGTTGCAGGCATCCTGGGTAGGATGAGGAGGACTGAGCCTCAGGAGGAAACCAAAGGAGCTACTGGACAAGTGGCAGGCAGAAGGAACTCAGGCTCGGGCACATCCTCGGTGCTTTTCACTGCAAATCAGAAAGTACTTCCTGGGCAGCTTCATTGGCAACTGGGGTTGATGGCAGCAGTGGGCACAAGAGATGCTGCTCACTGAGGACAGCTTGTCCAGAGACCCCCGGCCCATTAATCATCTTCAAGCAGAGACTGATTCTGAAGCATGTAGAAGAGAGCCCAGGCCCAAAGCAAGCTCGGAGACTTCTACAGGAGAAGAACAAGGCTAAAGAGACAAGCCTTCCTACATCAGCAATCACTATAAAGCTACAGTAATTAAGACAGCGTAGTATTGGCAAAGGGACAGATAAATAGACCACTGAAACAGAATTGAGGCCCAAAACTGATCTGTGCACATATGGAACCTTGATATATGAGAGAGGCAAAGTACAAATCAGCAGGAGAGGATGGACTCTAATAAACAGTGTGGGGGCAACTGGTTATCCATTCAGAAACAGGGGTAAAAAGAAATTGGATCTTTACACTAGACACAAAAATCAATCCCAGGTGGATTAGAGACCTAAATGCAAAAAACAAGGGTGTCTAACATTTTCAGTTCTGAGTCTAGCCAAAAACTCCTTGGGCACAAGTCTGTGCTTTGTGGGATTTTTGTGCTGGGGTGCTCATACAGGGTTCCCAATCACTGCAAGGACAGGAGCGGGTCCCGGTCATCTTGTCACCTTCCTTCTTGGTGAAATCTTTCCTGATTACCATTCCTGAGGAAGCATGAGTCTCACTCCTCCTACTGGCCCCACCAAGGGGTGCCAGGGAGCTAACAACCATAATCTTCACATGTGCATCAAGCTTCCTCTTATCAGGTATTTCCTTGGGGCCAAGAACTTTGCCTCTTTGCCCACTTTCCTACAATCATCCATGAAGCAGGTTCTGTTGTCCTTATTTCACACATGAAGAAACCGAGCTTCTACTATAGAAGGAAAGTGAACTGCCTAAAGTCATAGTTTCTAGGTGCCAGAGCCAGGATTCAAACCTGGATCCATCTGACTCTTAATATCTTGATAATTACCCAAACGATTTTCATACTGTGGGTCCTGACCCGCTAACAGGTAGTGAGATAAATTTGCTGGTCTAATAATTTAAAAAAATAAAATTAGAATGAAATAGAATAAGCTGAGCAGGGTGGTATGAGGCAGGAGAATCACCAAGAATTCAAGGCCAGCCTGGACTCTACAGTGAGTTCCAGGCCAGCCTGAAGTACACAGCGAGACCCTAGCTCACATATCAGTGGGTATATGCATACTAGGTAGAGAAGAAATCATACTTCTTGCTATAAGTTACAGCCAGCAATGTTTGAAAAAGACTGCCTCCATCCCATGTAGCAAGGAGCCGTTGGGGAAAGGTCACTATCTAGACTCCATCCTTGTGGAATGGGACTTGGCCATGGCATTGGCCTCCTAATTTGCTAAGAATGAATTTGGAAGTTAAACTAGCTGGAAGCAGGTCCTTCGGTGCATTGCTATGTGTAAGAAATGGGAGGTCAAGATGCCTCTGTAAGGGTTTCTTCCTAAATGGCATCTTCTAAAGTTTCTGGGCCCTGAAGGCGAATCCCAGTTCCTCCACCTGCTTTCTGTGTCTCAGACACCTGGGTGGAGGCCCGGCATAGGTCATTCTACCTTTCCTAAGCTCTATTTATTCATGACAGTATGTAAGACCAGACATACTTGTTAACCTTCATCCACGAATCCCAAGTGAAAAGGCATATGGCCCCAGAAACTCCATCCAACAGGGCAAAGAGCACAGAGCCATTAGTTTTCATGGGTGGGGGTGGTCAGGACAGGTTTCTTGGGGTGGGCTGTATTTAAACTGGAGCAAGCAATCCTTGCTTCCAGGCTAAGAACAGCTGAAGAGGGGCTCAGTGGGGATGGGAAGACAGTAACCAAGGATCAGGATGCATGCAGTACCTCAGGATGCTGGTGGGAGGATAAAGGGAGAGCTGGAATTTGACTGTGAGGAGCCTGTACAATGGCTGAACAATGAACAATGGAAATGCGATCCTTCAGAGGGTCCAGCAATGTCTTAGCCAAGATTCAGCACCCTGGTACCCTCCCACATTCCCTCCCAGGTCTGCCCCTCCCTCAGCCCCCAGCCTCCCTTCTCTGGCCTGGCTGGCTGGACAGCCAGATCTGGGTGGGAAACCCCTGTTCCCCCACTGAGGCAGAGCCAGCAGAGAACTGCAGAAAGGGTGGCCATGGGGATATCCTGCCCCTTTATGTGTATCATTCTCAGGTGGAAACTGCTCTTCGATTTCATTTGAGTCAGTATACAACAAGGTTTGTCCAGGCACTCCAACAACTGGGTTTAGATCATGTTTTCAAGACATGAAATCTTCCATCTGTGTGATGCATGCTGTGGGAGGTCTAAAATCCCAGTTCTTCAACCACCAGTGGCTTCCAGAAAGCAAAGCGCACTTCCCTAAAGAACTGAAGCTTGGAGGACAGGGGAACACAGAAGCCAGGCATTGGATGCCTCCCATGTCACCCCTACCAGGGCTTTCCCAGAGCCCAGCCTCTTCTTCGGTGGAATGTCACAGCTCTTACTCTGCTCCTTCATAAGCCAGGGGATGCTGACATTTCATTTTAGTGTTTAGTTGTTCCCCTAAGACCTTGTCACTGCATGTCCCCTACAGTTGAGCTGTTAGTGACTTTTTAGGGCAACAGCAATCTCCTCAATCTCGGGGACTCCCTGAACTACTGCTGCACTGACTGTGCCTCAGACATTCCAGGAACTGTTTTGCCTCTGCCTCTATCTGGATGGCCCAACTCAGTTGCTCAGAGAGCTCCTACACTGTCCACAGGATCCAGCTCAAATATCATCTCATCAATCAGCCATCGCTGGCCCTACACACCTACAAAGAAATAATCATTGTCTTCGCTAGGATTCCATGCTCAGTATCATTGTGCACAGATCACCATCATCATGCTTCTTTCCATATATCATAGGTGTTTGTCCATCTCCCTTCAGGTTGCCTTGAGTGCTTAGAACAGAGAACATCCCTACAGCCCTGCTAAGTGCTCATTGAGTGAATGAGTGAATGTATGGTCCAGCAGCATGAAATAAGTCACAACTCTCAAGAACTAACTGGGAAGTATTTAAACAACAGCTCCTATTGATACGCTAACACCCTCTGTCCTCCCCTCACCAAATCAGGTGACTCGAATGCAATGTCCCTTTTCAATATTAATTAAAAGCCCCGAGGGAAGTGCGTTCACTTGTCTGTGAGAAAATATTGAGAATTGACATTTGTTAAAGGCAATAAAAGAAAAAGATCATACAAACAGTATTTTTTAAAAAAGAAAGAAAAGAAAAACCTCTGGAGACACTGCCCATTAGAATATTCAAATTCTTGTCAATTTCTCCTATAATTCAGCACCAGAAAAGAGTCCCCCCCACATGAATCATTAAGTTGCTTCTGACAGAACAAGAACAGTAGAAACCCCTGCATATTCCCTTTTGCTTTGGCTGCCAGGAAGCTCAGTCAAATTCAGTGCTCAACCACCGTAACCATATATATGACTGCTGGCTTCTAGTGCAATGATCCTTCCCTTTGCTCTGCATAATTTTCAGACTTAACTCAGAGACATGTAATCATTTACTTTTCAAGTCACCTTAAGTTCTCCATGAAAGTGGAGACCGGGGGAGATAGAATGATAGAAAAAAATGTGAAAAAAAAGTATGATAGAAAAAAATGTGAAAAAAAAGTAAAGAAAGGAGATGGAACAAGAGAGAGAAAGAGAAGGGAGAAGTCATTGCTAGTGCCTTTTTCCTGGTAACAGTGGCAAGCTACTCCCATTCCTCAGTCACTTGAGAGGTCTGGGGCTGACCAATAGGGCATGGTGGAGAATACAC